TCAGCTCAATTAAACAAGGGCCCAAAGGGGAGGTGAGAAATAGGTGGCAGGCCAGCATTAGATTGAGAACTATTTGAGAATGATTGCTGCTGGATGAGGGAGAATATGACTTAAATATGACCACTGGATGGGGTGACTAGACTCCAGTGGACACATTTGCACTGAAGGACATTTGGGTACAAACACCTGAAGGAATAGGACTCAGCATGTATGGCAGAGTGCATGGGATTTGGTGAGGGTATAGGGGGAGGCATGGATGAGGGAGGGGTCTGGATTTGAGTAGGAAATATATGAAATTCTAAAAGCTTGATAAAAAAGTGAAAAAAGATATTGTATATGATAAATAATTGCATAACAAAATAATTGTGGAAGGAAACTCAGTATTTCCAACAGCGAAGAGGTTGGCGGAACTGAGATAGTCAATTTTTACTGAGTATATTCTGGAGAGTATTTTTGCCGCCCAGCTTTAGTAAGGTGAATCTGACGAATCAACATTATATGTTTATAGTGCACAGTATGATCTTCTGGTATGGGTATACATTTTTAAATGACTAAATTGAGCTAATTATAATTTCCATCATTTCATTTACCTGTTTTTGCATATGTATTGAGAATATTTAAAATCTCTCAACAATTTTAAGTGTACAGTATTATTTACTACAGTCACCATGCCATGCAATAGATCTCTGGAACTAAAAGCCTCTAGTCTAAACAAACATTTGCACCCTCTGACCAAGATCTCCCCATTCTTCTCCCTCTCTTTCAAAAGGAAGCATATGTCCATGAGACATAATCAAGTGGAGGCTGGAAATGGTTCACTCTTCTCCTGTTTCTAGGGAGTCATATTCATTTCGCCTTATATTTTTTTCTGCTACTAGTCTCACCAGTCTTCTGACTCATCAAGCTGTGTGCCTGCTGACCCATCTGCCTTCTGTATTCTGACAGCTACTGTGTATATAAACCTGTGTTTGTACATGTGAATTTCCGATTCCTGGTATTGGTTATTGTATTTCACAGAGGTCACCCGGTGCTCCAGCCTACAGAGATTGTTTTGGATCCAAACTCTCACTTTCAACTTGTTATCTACGTTTTTTAGGTTCCCAGTATCCATGCCCTTAGAAAGCATGCCATCTGTCTTGATTTTCACATGAGCTGATGGATAAGAATGGTGAATTGACTGGAACTGATATAGAGAACTATGACCTGTCACTAGAGACCATGATCCATGTTATTAGCCGCCTCTTGCTAGCTCTGGAGTCTCACCTGCAGTCTGTATTTCTTCACTTGATCTACAAAGGGTTCATGAGAGCCCAAGTCAAAAGCCTTGCTAAAACCCAGATGCATCCTGTCTACAACATTCTCCTGATCTACAAGCCTTGTAACCTTATCAGAAGAGTAAATTAAGTTAGTTCTGCCATGACTTGTTTTCCTAAAGGCCCTACTTAGTGTTATTACTAAAAGAGATTTGATTTGAGCCCAATTGTGGTTTCAATTTGGACATATTTACTGTATTTCTCTACCTGTTCAGTGTCCTTCCCTGTCCCCCTAAGGCCTGCCTGGTGGCTGGAGGTAATTAGATATATAAATTCATGCAAAAGAACTAATGGAAAACAGGTTTATATATACTGCTTGTAATGTAGTGGTAGGAAAAATTTGTCCCAAATGTAGAAATGTTGTCATAAGTGTGAATTTTGAATTTGTAGTGCAGAGTATTGCATCCTGGTGGAAGGCCTAGTTAGGCTAAAGAAAAATTTTGGTGTTCTTTGCACAATAGGAAGTCATCTTTTTGCTTGTGATGTAATGTAGGGTGAGAGTATGTTAGATTTTTAGGGCTATTGTCAAAAATTTTCTGGCTTAACAGAAAGGACATTTATCATCTCACAGTATGGAGGCCAGAAGTCTCCTGTAAGTTTACCTGGGTGTTGACAGTCTGGAAGTCAGAAGTCTCATGTAAGCAACCACCCTCTGAAGAATATGTTCTTTGCCTCTTCTAGCTTCTGGTGGTGACTGACATGCTTTGGCTTGTGGCTCTGCCTCTACAATCATATTGTCTTCTCCTCATCATCTGTAATATGCCCCCTGATTCACTCTTGTAAGGACACTTTTGACTGCATTTAGCACTCAGCTGGACAATCCAAGATAATCTCCCTATCTCAGCCACCTCAATCAAATCACATCTGCAATATCCCATAGAAGGCAATAGTCACAGATTCTGGGGATTAATATATAGTTTTGGGGAGAAGCGACATAATGTAGCCTATCACAAGGACTGATGTCACATGATTCATTCCCCTGACAAGCTCTTCATAGTCCCTCAGTTTGCTTGAAGGTGAGCTGAAAAAGAGAACAGCAAAGTCTTGCAGAGGAAGCTACTAGTCTTCTAACCTTCCTTTACTCTTTTGGATCCTCATGATATGTCTACTTGTGGATCTGTTCCTGTACATTCCAAGGTCCTGGTCATACATACCCAGCTGGGAAATAGCATGTTATAATCCACTCCTGAAATTCATCTTTGCCTGTTTTCACTTATTTGGGTGGCTTTCGGCCTCCACAGCATAATTGCTGATGCAGGTTGAAACTTTACTGGGGGTGGGGATGAGAGGGGGAAGATTGATTGGCTCACCAATAACATTTGTCTCTTGGGCTGGCAGTGCGCGCAGAGGAGCCATTTATGCAATCTAATTATTACGTCAATTGGGGGATGGAGTAATGTTTCCCAGATGCCATTTGGCACCTGGAGAACTACAAATCAGTACACTCATATAAGAAACATTAATATAGACCATTGATTGGATTCATTGATCCCCTCCCCCTTTTGGCTTCTTATTTTGATTTGGCATGAAACACAAAAGGTTTGCTTTACCTCACCTAGCTACCATGTTCAGACAGGGGGCTCCCATTGATTAGATGTCTTTTACAATTAAATGTACTTAAGGAATGATGTGCATTTTTGAATTGCTTTCTCTCTTCCTGACCTTGCATCTTTCAAAATATTTGGGATCAGTAAGACTGAGATCTGGGCTATGAGGGAACCTAAAACAGGCAAGAGAAAAGAGCAATAAGCAAAGATGCTATTGTAATCCCTGTGTGCTCAGAGATTTCACTGGCCCTCCATGCTATTACATCAGTTCCTTGGTGTTCAAGCACTATAAGCCACAAATCAGATTTATTTTTAATTATTCTTTTCATTAGTACCTAGGTAATCTGTCGGGATTATCTTCACATGATTGCAGGTTTCTGCAGTCTGAGGAAGGAGGATGTTAAGATTATTGAGGATGTTCACTATATCCCCTTTCTACCTCACTCTCCTTCCACAAATGCTTTTCTCTCCTGTTGGCTGGTCCCTGCAATTTCTTTACTTAGTGACAAAGCATTCCATTCTACTACTGAAGACAAACCTTAAAATGAGGCTAAGACAAGAGCGGAGGATCACACGTATTTAAATTCATAATAAGGACTAAATGATCACTACTAAAGTCTCCTAGATGGTCGGTGAGATTAGGAATGAACTCAACAATCTTGATTCTAACTCATTATAAGGAGGGGAGAATTGAGAAAGGATGTGTCCATGATTGTACAGCAATTTTGTAGCAAATTCTTTCCTGAAACAAAGTTTTATTTAGGAGCATCTTAATAACATTGGAGACAGAAGTCTCTGACAAGTTTTTACCAAAGACCAGCACAGGAGTATTTTAAAACTGGCAATTACAGCAGGTTAGTCATTCAAGTGGTCTGTTACCAAGACCCAAAATATGCACTTTGGCTCTGGCCTGGTAGCAGTCACCAGAAGTCCATATATCTCATTTTTGTGCATTTAGTAGCTAGCTTATTTCCTGTCTCACGGACAGGACTCAGCAAAAGTTCCATGAATGACTGAATCTCTCCAGAAATGTGGAAGGCTTTTCACTGGACCTCTCTATACTCTCTTACCTTGATTCCTGTGTGTACATTTCTCAGAAAGGTGCCAACATTAGGGGTTTCACCCCAGTGTAGGACTAACAATTTTGTCAGTGATCAGGGACCCAAATGATGTTGATAAAGTCACTTGCAGTGAAACCTATTCCTTGAAGCCTATGAGGAAGTAGTTAAAGAAGGAGCTGAGATCTTAGAAGTAAAGACCATGAATTCAACCAGTCTTTGGAGTCTGACTATATTAATTCTATCTTTGGGTATTTTGGGAAGCCTAACATAGGGGATGAAGGTTCTAAATGGGAGCTAGCCACACTTTTTACTCTATTAGGAGGAATCTTCTGGTTGCAGGGATACAGGGTAAGAGTATAGGGAACTATAGGTCTTTGAACAGACCCCTTGGATACTTATGCCTTGTGGGAAGTAAGTAATAACAACTCAGCCTGTCAGGATCTGCCCTTAACATCCCAGTACTTGCTCCCACCAGTGCTACCACCTTATTCTTTCCCTTTGCTGATTCACTTGCACTCACCTGCAGGGGCTGGGCAAAGATATGGCCCCTAGTTCCAAGTATGCCTACCTCTCATCAGGCTGCCTCAGTTAAGTAAAACTGCTTATGTCTCCTGTGTTCATGGCAGAAGCCTTCAGTCAGGGATGACAATGGAGAGAGAGGCTAGCTCTTGGGGCAGGGCTATCCATCAGCCTCAGATGAAAACAAGATCCAACAGCTAAGCCCACTTCTATTGGCCAATGGCTCAGCATTGGCTGACAGTCCAGAAAGACTTCTGTTGGCCTGAACCAATGAAAAGGAGCCAAAGATAAAGTCTCTCTAACTATTAAAGTGATATTTCCACCTATGATTGGCCCCAAGACCATTCACCTCAGGGTTCTCTCATTGGCTTGGAACAGCATGCTGGCAGCCAGGTCACCCTGTGCTGAGGAGGCACCTACGTAGGCATGCAATTGGGCACAGTCTGCTTCTGGGCATGTAGGGGAGAGGCAGAAAGAGGAGGAGGTATCAAGATCCTCCCTCTGCTTTATTGGTGACATCTTGAGGACCCACCTACTTCTTTTTGTGCCTCTCCCCTTGTGCTGGGCTTGCTTAATCTTCTGGTCCCATTCACTAAAGGACTTCGATTCCCAGGTATGGTGGTGACTGGCAACACAGGGTAAGATGTAGCCTTTTCTGAGAGTTATTTGCATTTTCATAGGGGATTCCTGAAATCTGAAAGGATATGATGGTCCGAGGTAGTCACAGGTTCATAGAATTTGGGTGCCAAAGGGAATTTTGGTATAGTTCCCATTTTACAGATGGGGAAGAGAACTGAGATGAACTCTGAAAGGCAATAGAATTTGCTCAAAGGCATACAGCTGGTTAGTGGCAGATCTCCTGACACAGGAAAGGGCATTTCTGATGCATCACAAATGAATGAGCTGTGGTATTTCATACACCTTTTTGGTTCTCACCACACCATGGACTTTATGCCCCCCTGGAGAATTTCTAGTTCTATTGGGGAGGTCTTCAGAGCACAAATGTGGCTTAATTACTTTCCATAAGTTTTCACTGTGTCCTCAGTAGAAGAAGCAAGAGGCTTGTGCTCTGGGTTTTGTTTCGTTGTTGCTCTCTTCTTGTGTTTATCAAGACATGGTAGTGAATTAATTGTGGCCAAGGTTCTGCAGTCATGTAACCAGTTATCTACTTAGGACGTTGTCCAACTGGGGGATCTGGCCACTCACATTATGACGTCTGAGCCATCACTGTTCAAGATGGAGTAAAGAAGTCAGTTACTGAATGCCAAATGGCCTGAGCCTAAGTTATTGCTCCATTAATAGAAATGCTTCGTTTTTCATGCATCCTCCAAATTTCCTTCATGTAGAGACCTGAGTTGATTTGTTTGTATACAAGATAAGCCTTTGAAGAGTGCTGAAATCTTGAGCATGTGTAGGTTTTTATCAAGAACAACAAAAAGGATAAAGGATTTTTCACTGCTCAGTGCAGCATCTCCTTGTTTCAGTTTCCTCAATGCTTCCTGTTTCTTCACTCTCCCTTTTTATCCTTTAAAGAACAATTCAAGACTTCCTTTGTACAGGAGCCTTCCTTTACTAGTGCTACCAACATCAATCTCTCCCTCCTTTAGATTCTCACTGTCCATCCAGTCTATCTTCCCTAATAAAATTTATTATGTTCTGTTTTGTATTTCTCACTATTGGATTCATGCATATCAGTCTCATTTTCCTATTCAGACTCAGTTCCATAAGGGCAGGGCACACATTCTATGCTTAAGTATATCTATTGTATTGGGGGGACATTCAGATTAAACTGGATTACTAGCTTTACTATTGACTTGAGAAATGTTCTCTTAAGAGTTTACTTAAGAGTTTAACACGAGATACAAACTTTATGATCACAATTTTATAAAGTGGAAACAAAAGGAAGCAAGAAGGAAATACACTCAAATTAGTAAAAATTGGAGTTATAAGTGATTTTAAGCTTTCATGTATTTATCTGATTGCTTAAAATGTAAGGAGCATGTATTAATCTTATGAAAATAATAAATACTGTTTTTCAAAGAATCAGAGGTTCATGAGTCCTCAAAAGTAGAAAGCAAGAAGAGATGGTAGGACTCACGTAAGTCTTATTTTCTTGTTTTAAAGTTGAAAAGCTTCTGAGTACTGCTATGGGCAGTTGTAAGCTGGTGAGTTACAAACTCTGTCCTCTGGGAGTAAACAGCCTAGTGTCCAAAAACTCTGACGCTGAACCTTCTAACCTCTTCTGAAATCTGTCTGTCCCACTGGTTTTCCCCTCCAGGCATTTTTCTCTGAGTGGTTATATGATTTTCTTTTTCTGAGTTTCCTCATGATTCCTTTGTTTCTCCTGGGTAGGAAGCTTTGATTATTTAGTTTAGTTTTGATTCATGCTCTAGTCCTATATAAATCTCTCTTAGAATCCCTGCTTTACTCTGGAACATGCTAGAACTGTAGGATGTAGTTCTCCTATCTCCAGATGGCTGGAAGTGGACAACATCTAAATCTATGCTAGAGTATTGCTGTGAAGCAGATCTTAAAATGATTACCACTCAATACCTTTGCAATGCTTGGCTAAGTACAACGTTATTTAAAGAAGACCACCTGAAAATGATACAGCTAGCATACCCATTCTTTTCCTACTGTACCCAGCAGTATAGTCCCAGGTACCTGTCACACCATCCTTCCTCTTTTAGTTAAGCCTACATCACCCACATCCAGGAAAGGAGACTTGTATTATTTATGAGTGGCCACTGATTGATTACCAAGGGTGGCTGTCATACCTATGGCAGGCCATTCATGATCTGGTAGCAGACTTAGATGGTAGATTTCTCTAAAAGTGTTCCTCTTGCCCACTATGAAATCTCATTACTCAAAGCTGGGTATTCTTAGAATTATGAAGACTTGTTCAAATGAACATTTGTCATTTACTTGGGAGGATAATCACATGTAATGAATGCATTGTATCCATCTCTATTTCCCTCCTTATGTCCATCTACTAAATAGGCATGGGGTTCCCATTGCAATTTCTTTTTCCTTTCTGCCTTCCTTTCTTCCCTTCTTGCTTTTTCTTTTGTCCTTCCTTCCTTTCTCTCCTCCTCTTCCTCTTCCTCATCCTCTTCCTTTTCCTTTTCCTTCTTCATTTTTTTTAAATGAGAGTCTCTTTGTAGACCTTGCTGACCTGGAACATGTAAGGTAGAGCAGGCTCACCCTAAACTCATAGTAATTCTCCTGCTTCAGCCTCCCAAGTGCTACAATTACAGGTGTGCACCATCACGCTTGGATAATTTCATTTTTTACAACACAAAGTTCTGAAAACTAAAAGCTTTCTTATAGATTTGATACTAAAACTCATTTTACTCATATAAAATATTGTCTTTATCACACTTAGCATGAATATTCATGTATTTCATAACAAAAATGACTATGACACATGACTATATGGAGTTATGCCACAATTTGCTGAATATATTATATGATAAAAACAAATATACATGGTTATCTTCATAAAATCCCCCAAGATCACAATTCTGAAACATATCTGGCTCCAAGAATTTTTGATAAGGCCTTTTACTTTCAAAGATCTAGGGATGGGATGGTGGTGGACACTCTGCTCCTGTTGGCCAGTGGCAGAAGAAGCTTCAGAGTGAAGGGAGTAAGCACTGAAGTCTTTATAAAGGACAGCTTGCTGAGCTTAGCCAATGAAGCCTAGTTGGGTCGCTTAGCTGTTTGTGCAAAGAGCATGAGAACTGACTGCAACGTGAAGATGAAACAAACTTAGAGGAAAGATAGAGCTGCAATGGAACAAGAATAATTTGGGAACAGCGGAAATGAAAAGGATTCTAGATAATCTTAGGTACATAGTGTCAATGACTCCAGTTGGCTGACAGCTGATAGGTGCGAGTTCAGTTCAGGATGGCTTTAGATGAAGTATCATTGTAGACAGATACAGAGATGCAAAAAGAGTCTAGAATCCCACTAGCCATTAACAAGGGTATGAAAGGATGAGTTGTCTGAGACGAAGGTGTCTTTGACTTTTTCCTATTTCTATTTTTAAAGCATTTAAAAATGCAAAATAAACCACACACAAAGAAAAACATATAAATCATAAATATATAGCATATTCAGTGAAACACCTGTGTTATGTTACCCAGCTGAAAAACAGGACATTCTTCTGGGTCTCATGGCACATGCTTGTAATCTTGGAACTTGGTAGTCTAAGTTAAGAGGAGCTCCATGAGTTTGGGATCAGCCTGGACTATATATTGAGTTCAAGGCCAGTCGACCTGGGGTTACATAACAAACCCCTGACTCAACCACAGCAAAAGTAGAATATTATCAGCATTCTTGATTCTCAAATTGTGCCTGCTTCCATAACCTTAATTCTTTTATTCTCTCCTAAAAAGTAACAACTATTCTGGCTTCTACATAAATCACTTTATTGCATTTTATACTTGTACACCTTATATGACTGAACATTTTAGGTTTGCCTGTAACTCACCTTTATGGAATCATTCAGTATGTACATCTTAGTATGTGGCTTGTTTATTCAACGTGATATTTTTGAGATTCATCTGTGTTGTTGCATGAAATTTATACTGTTCTTTCTTGTTGCTGTATAATATTCCTTTTGTGATTATGTCATGATTGATTTATCCATTCTAGTAGAGATTCCAGTTTGGAGTTATTTGGACCACTATTACTCTGGGTATTTTGTTTTTTCTTTTGGTGCACATGTGCCTGTATTTGTGAGGGTTGGAATAAATGAGTCATAGGATATGCACATATTCCATCTTGATAGATATTGCCAGTTTTCCAAAGTGTGTATCAATTTACACCCTTTCATTGTGCCAAATCATTATCAACACTGTTTTCAGATTTTGGAAAATTTAATCATTGTGTTGGGTGTGCAGTGGTATCTCACTGTGGATTTTGTGTGCAGTTCTCTGGTGACTTATAAGGTTGAG